GAGAACTCAAAACTTAAAAGAACTAACTTCCGGGGTACGGTGACTCTGCACTTTTTTCCCGCCTGCCCTGTCCTCACCCCTCCTCCCGGGTAGCAGTGTGTCAACTCCCTATTGGATAAGAGCTCCCCCGCCCCTGGTACCTTATAAAAACCCCTGCTTGCTGTAATAAACAGAGTTCCGGCTTTGACCGCTCTCCTGGCTCGGTGTTCTTTCTTTGTCCCCGGGGCCGAAGCGCAGAGGGGATCGGGCCTGCGACACTCATCATCCCGCTCAGCCCCACAAGAGGTTACCGCTGGCTGGTCCGGGGTCCCTTCCCGCCCTGTGTTGTTGGTCCCCGGTGGCGAGGAACCAACACCCTATTAGCGGTCTTGCTGTCCTGCGGGCCGCCAAGGCCCTCATCTCTCTTGCTGCCTCCAAGTAACTCCGTCTGAAGGGCAGAGCTGCAGCTTCTGCCAACTCCTGCTCCATGTGCTCATCAGCTCAAGTCTTAAAGCAGCCACAGCCCAAAATGCTCAAAGTAGCCTTTTCTTTCTCTCGTTGTAGTTTCTCCTGCCTTCATGAGTTCCACAGGTCTCTCGTCCTCTTCCCCTGAGCTCCAGTGGCCCCAGCTTGGCAGATGTTACATTTTCATAGTTGTAAATTGGTTGATTTGTGGGAGAGAGTGATGCTGTGGACCGTCTATTCCGCCATCTTGATTTGAGAGCTTCCAACACTCATGATTTTTGCATGTTGATGTATCCTGCTGCTTTACCTAAATTGTTTACTGACTCTAAGAGCTTCTTTGGAAACTTTTTAAGGTTTTCTGTATATAGAATCATTATGTCTGCAAACAGGGATAATTTGACTTTCTCTTTTCTGTTTGGGATGCCCTTGCTTTCTTTCTCTTGCCTGACTCCTCTGGCTAGTACTTCCTACACTATGTTAAATAACAGCTGAAGGTAGATATCCTTGTCTTGTTCCCGTTCTTAAGGAAAAGCTTTTAACTTCTCCCCATTCAGGATGATGACATTAGGTTTGTCATATATGACTTTATCATGTTGAGATACTTTCCTTCTATACCTAATTTGCTGACACTCTACCATAAAGTGATGTTGAGTTTTGTCAAATGCTTCTTCAATGTCTGTTCACATAATCATATGGTTTTTCTCCCTGATTTTGTTGATGGTATGTATCACATTTATTGACTTGTGTATGTTGAATGATTCTTGCATCCCTGAAATGGATCCTACTTGATCATGATGTATAATTTTTTTGTATGTGTTGCTGGATTCTAATTGTGGATATTTTATTGATGGTTTTCCCATCTATATTCATCAAATATATTGGCCTATAGTTTTCTGATTTGGTGGTGTATTTATCTGCTTTTGGGATCAGGGTGATGTTTGCCTCAGAATGAGTTTGGGAGAATGACCTCTGTTCCAATTTTTTGGAATAGTTTCAAGAGAATTGGTATTAATTCCTCTTGAAAGGTTTGGTAGAGTTCAGCAGGAAAGCCATCTGGTCCTGGCATTTTCTTTGTTGGAAGATTGCTGATTACTGCTTCAATCTCATTGCTTGGTATTGGTCTGTTCAAGTTTTTTATATCTTCCTGATTCAGTCTTTGTAGGTTCTATGTGTCCAGAAATTTCTATATTTCCTCCAGGTTTTCAAATTTACTTTTGCAGAGTTGTTTATAACAGTCCCCAATGATTCTTTGTGTTTCTGTGGTACAGGTTTTGATGTCTTCTTTTTCATTTCTGATTATTATTTGTGTCTTCTCTATTTTCTTACCCTACCTAAAAGTGTGTCTATTTTGATTATCTACTCAAAAAACACTTTTCCTTTCATTGATCATTTGTATCATTTGGGGCATGTTCTATTTCATTTAGTATTGATCTGATCTTAATGATTTCTTTCTTTCTACTATTTTTGTTGTTGGATTGTTTTTATTTTCCTAATTCTTTGAGGTGTAGTGTTCAAATATTTATTTACAGCCCTTCTAGTCTTCCAATATAAGCATTTATCACAATCAATTTCCCTCAGTACTGCTTCTGCAATATCCCATGTTTTGATATGATTTGTCTTTGTTTTTATTACTTTCAAGAAATTTTTTGAATTGCTGTTTAATTTCTTCTTGGACCCATATGTCATACAGGAGATTGTTGTTTAATTTTCACGTATTTGTAAACTTTCCAGAGTTTTCTTTGTTATTGATCTCTAGTTTAAATCAATTGTTGTCAAAATATATAAATAAAATAATTTCAATTATAAAAATTTGCTGAGTATTGATTTATGACCTAACACGTGGTGTATCCTGGAGCGTGTTCATTGTGCTGAGAAAAACATATGCTGTGGTTGCTGAATGAAATGTTCTGTAGATGTCTGCCAAGTCCAATTGGTCTAAAGTGCAGTTTCGATCATGTGTTTCTGTTGATTTTTCACCTTGATGATGTGTCCAATGATGAGAGAGGGGAACTCATGTCCCCAACTATTGTGATATTATAGTGTATCTCTTTCTTTAGGTCTAATAACATTTGCTTAAGTTATCCGGGTAATCCAATGTTGGGTGGATATATACTTATGATTAGTATGTCTTCTTACTGGATAGATCCCTTTATCATTAATCCAATCAGTCTGTGTCTTTTGAGTGGGGTATTAAATCCATTTACATTAAGACTTACTATTCAAATATGTTTACTTGCTCCTGTCATTTTGATTTTTGCTTGGATGTTTTAAATACCTTTGGTTCCTTTATTTCCATTTTATAGTTTGCCTTCTGTTTGTTGGTTTTTTTTTGAGGTGGTTAGATAGATTTTTTCTCTTTAACATTAGCATTTTTGTTCTATTAATGGATTTTATTCCTTTGTATTCATGGTAATGATTATTGCTCAGATAGGTGATGTAGTATACCTTTCAGAATATCTTGTAGGGCTGGTTATGTGGTGGTGAACACCCATAGTACTTGTTTTTATGGAAAATATATTTTTTTCTCCCTCATTTCCAAAGGATAGATTGCTGGGTATAGTCTTTGATGGCAAATTTTGTCTTTTAGTATTTTGAATATATCCCCCTATTCTCTTCTTGCCTTTAGGGTTTCTGATGAAAAATCTGTTGTTAGTCTGATGGTGGCTCTCTAATACGAACTTGATCTTTCTGCCTTATTGCTTTTAAGATTCCGTCTTTGAGCTTTTCCAACTTCATTATGATGTACCTTGCAGAGGACCTTTTTGGATTGAAATGGTTCTGAGATCTTGAGTCTACTCCAGCTGAAAATCCATTCTCTCCCTATACCTGGCAAGTTTTGTGTTTTTACCTAATTGAACATATTTTCAATGCCTTTTCCTTTTCCCTCCCATTCTGGAACACACATGATTCAGATGTTAGTGTGGCTTCAGGTTGTCTGCTTGTTCTCTGTGACTTTCTTCCTTTTTTAAAATTTCTTTTATTCTTTCTTTCTTTTTTTTTCTTTTTTCTTTTTGGTCCACTTATGTTATTTTGAAAAGTCTGTCTTCAGGATCATGCATTCATTCTTCTGCTCATTCTAGCATGCTCTTAAAACTCTTAGTTGTGTTTCAGATATCATCTAATGACATTTCCATGAATTTTGCTACATTCTTTTTTTAGGGCAATAGTCTCTTTGTACATTTCCTCCTTCAGATTCTGGATACTTTTCTCATTTTGTTTTGCTTTCTCAGTCATCTTCTACCTCATTGAGGGCCCTTGGGATTGTTGCTTGAAATTCCTTTTCAGTCATTTCAATGACTTCTTGCTCTATACGTACATGAAAATCATATTCCTTTGGTAGTGTCATAAGTTTTATTTTTCATATTTCTAGTATCTCTACATTGGTCTCTAGTAACCCGGTAGAACAGTTATTTTTTCCCAATACTCCACAGTGGGCTTTGAGGAGAGGGAGTCATTTTGCTGATGTATTTTATACTGACTATTGAATGGGTGTTTTAGTACTGGTTTCAGGTAGATGCAGTAGTGTAGTCCCCATGTAGGCACTTTGGCAAAAGTCAGTGCTGGAATTGTACATTGGTAAAAACAATAAAAAAAAAAAAATCTCAAGATAAAAATTTAAAATATTTTGAAGTAAATAAAAGAAAATGCAACTTATCTAAATTTGTGGGATGCAGAAATAGAAATCCTTTCAAATAATTTACAGTATTGAGTGCATATATTTTTTAAAAAGAAACACCTAAAATCAATAAGCTAAGTTTGTATCTTTGGAAACTACAAGAGAGCAAATTAAATTAAAAGGAAGCAGAAAAAATAAAAATGAGCAAAAATAAAATTAAGAAAGGAAATTAAGAGAAAATTCTCAACAAAAAAGTTGATTCCTCAAAAAGATCAATAAAATTGATAAGCCTACAGCTACGCAAACTAAAAAGATAATGACACAGAAATTACTAATATCAGAAATGAAAAAGAGGAAATCACTACAGAGCCTGTGGACATTAAAAAAGATATATAGTATGAACAACGCTGGGCACAAACTTGATAACCTAGTTGAAATGGACCAATTCCTTGAAAGACACAGTTTCCCAAAACTCACAAACAGTAAAATCAAGTATTAGAATAGGGCTATATCTATTATGAAAATTGAGTAAAAAAAAAACTTCCAAACAGAAAGCACCTGGGCCCAATGTGTTTACTGGGGATTTCATCCAAACATTTATTTATTTTTATTCTTATTCTTATTTTTTAAAGATGGCCAGTAAAGGAATCTTAACCCTTAACTTGGTGTTATCAGCACCATGCTCTCCCAAGTGAGCTAACTGGACATCCCTGTGTGGGGATCTGAACCCTTGGCCTTGGTGATAGCACCACATTCTCCGAAGTGAGCCATGGGCCAGCTCCATCCAAACATTTAAAAGGAAGAAATTATACCAACTCTCTACCATCTATTTCAGAGACTAAATGATAAGATACATCACAACACATTCTACAAGGACACTAACTCAATACCAAAACCAGACAAAGATATTACAATAGAAAAGTAGAAACCATTATCTCACATGAACATACAAGTATCTTCAAGAAAATATTCAAAAACCTAATCAAAAAATGTTTAAAGAGAATCACGCACCACAACCAAGTGGTGTTTATCCCAAGCAGGCAAGGCTTATTCAATACTTGAACATCAATTAATTTAATCCTTCACATCAAAATGCTAAAAACAAAGAAATTAGATGGTCATATTAACAGACTCAGAAAAAGCCTTTGACAAAATACAGCACCCATTCATCATAAAAACTCTCAGTAAATTAGAAAGAGAGGGGAACTTAACAAGTTAATAAAGACTATCTACAGAAAACTGTAGTTAACATTATTATTCATGGCGAAATACTAAAAGCTTTTCCAGAAAATCAGGAACAAGGAAATAATGGGCCTCTTGCCACTCACAACATTGCACTAAAGTACTTCATACTGCAATAACAGAAGAAAATGAAATAAAAGATTACAGACTGGAAAAATAAATCAATAAAATTGTCTTTGGTTGCAGGTGATATGAGTATCTGCATAAAAAATTCTAGTAAATAAATAAAAAACCTCCTGGAATTAATAAGTGATTGCAGCAAGATTGCAGGACACAAGGTTTATAAACAAAATTGTATCATGTTTCAACAAACCAGAAATGAGCGAGTAGAATCTTAAATAAAATCAGAATACTATTTGTCAGCACCTCAAAAAATGCAATAGTTGCAAATCTTCTATGGCAGAAGAAATTAACACCAAGAATACACAATGAAAAAATGTTCCACAGAAACACAACAACAAAACAAATAACCCATTTAAGAAACAAGCAAAGAAGGTGGCTCACTGGTTAGCTCCATTGGTTACAGAGCAGAATTGTAACACCAAGTTCAAAGGTTCAGTTCCCCATACCAGACAGCCACTTCAACAGCACCCCCCAACAAAAGAATAGCAAAAAATTTGAACAGACATTTCTCCAACAATGATATACCAGTGTCTAACAAACACATAAGATGCTTAACAGCATTAAACATTAGAAAATGCAAAACCACAAGGAAATATTGCTTCACACTCAATACAGAATAACAGGTTTCAGTGAAATTGGAATTTTAGTATGCTGTGGGTGGCAATTTAAAATGGTACAGCCCTTGTACCATTTAAAAAATACATATTCTGGCTTCTCAGAGAATTAAAAATGGTATTATCATGTGATTCAGAAGTCCAAGTTCGATGTATATAACCAAAATAATTAATAGTTAAATCTTCAAAAGATATTTCTAAACCAGTGTTCATAGCAGCATTAGTCACATAGTGAAGTGGTAGATTCCAAACATCCATCCAAGAACGAATGGATAAATTGTAGTATGTACACAGAAAGGAATATTATTCAGCCATAAAAAGAAATGAAATCTTGATGTATGTTATAACAAGGAACAGTGAGGACACTATGCAAAGTGAAATATGCCACTCACAAAATCACAAGTATTGAATGGTCCCACTGGTATGAGTCAAATTTTGAGAAACAAAACTAGAATATCAGGTGCCAGAAGCTAGAAGGAGGGGAAAATTGAGTGTTGTCATTTAATGGATACAGAGCTTCAATATTCCAAAATTTAAAAAGTTCTGGACATCTCCTGCACAACACTGTAAATATACATAATACTACTTAAAGGTAAAAAAATGATTCAAATGCTAAAGTTTTTGTTATGTTTATTTTTCTTTGCCAAAACTAAAATTAAAATAAATATTTTAAAAACCAATAGATGGAACAAACTAAAATATTAAAAAATATTTGATTAACAAAAATATTTAGGGAAAAGAAAAAGCAAAGGATTAAAATGTAGATGACACAACAACAACAAAGAAAAATAGCAAAATGGCAGACCTCAATATACCCCCTTTTAATAAGTAGATTAAATGTAATTAGTCTAAATATCCTACTTAAGGCAAAAACTATCAGATTTGATAGAAAATTTAAGATCCAGAGACATACACTTTAAATACAAAGACACATGCTGTCCAGAGACATACACTTTAAATACAAAGACACAAACAGCCTGAAAGTTAAAAAACAAAATTAAATTAAAAGCACTACACAATCACTAATTATGAAAAGCTTAAGTGGGAATATTAATACTAGCCAAAAGAAGCTTCAGCACAAAATATATTACCAGAAATAAATGGAGCACTGAAGGATGTGGGCCACAATATTGCCTATGAGAGCACTGAAAAAGGAAAGGAAATCTCAACCTCTGAGGGGTCTGCTGAAGCAGACTTCTGTGAACAATGGGGAAAGTGCTAGCTGGTCTCCTCTCTCTGCCACTGAGAAAATATGAGAAGAAAGATAAAGAAGGTTGAGTGGCCAGATCACTAAGATGGTTAGAGCAGAGTTTTGATAACACCAGGGTCAAGGGTTTGGAACCCCACATAGACCATCCATCAGTAAATAAATAAGCAACAATAAAACAAAGAAAGATGTCCAAACTCAAACGAAATTTAAAAAAAATATAAAGGAGCCAAAACTTGCTGAGTTTAAAAGAAAACTACTTTTCAAACCAAGTTTTTGCCAACAAAATATTTTCAAAGACACAAACTACTTTGTTTCGAGAATTACAGTGTTTTGTTTAAAAAAAAAATTTCCAGTATTCTAAGTACCATAGGGTGTGATACATAGACAGTGCCTGCTAAATAAAACTCCTTAAGAAATAGCTGCCTCAGAGAGAAGGCGAGGTCAGAGGAAAAAAGGGCCTAACACAGAGGTAGCATTGGTATAATGGATTATAGTACAATGGAAGCTCGTGCTTTTTAGAGATGTACAAGGGTAATTTCCTGAATTGAAAGGGCATAATTAGTGGGCTGGTCTGGTGGCGCACTGCTACAGTGCGCCGCTCCCGCCGAGGGTTCGGATCCCACATACAGACCGGCCACTCACTGGCTGA